TCACTGTAAGTTTGAGTGATGTATGCTGAAGTGTAGAGGTCCGAGTAGTTCTCTGATTCCTCAGAATCTAAGAATTACTATTTGTTGTAACCTTTCAGTAAATTACAATGCAAAGAATTTTGGTGGAATAGAAAGAGATTTTTGTAACTACTATACACGATGGTAGGATATTTAGTAGGATTGCTAAATAACAATAGCATGTTTCAGTTGTTTTTGCATCAACTTTCAACGCAAAAAGAAAAAAGTCCAGTTAAATTAGCATGAGGAAATATGGTTATGATTTAATTAGCACAGCACCAAGTACTTACTAAAGTTTGTGTGCCCTAATAAAGTAGATCAAAGAGGGGAGATGAAGGCAGTTGAAGTATATTACCAAAAGTTGCAGGGATGTTTAACAAACAAACAACACCAACATGTCAAAAAAACCCCAAATACCAACTGGTTTCATGCTGTCCACAGCATTTGTGGAAGTCAGAAAGGGCCCTGTGAGGTTTAACAAAAGAACAGTTCAAAACTCTGGGCTGCCTTTCAAGTGAAGTAAAGTCTAAAATGAAGTAAAACACCTTTTGTGATAAACCCATCAGTTTTCTGCCCCAGGAGGGCAGTAAGAGATGCACAACTTGCTCCCACATTTGTTTGCTCCAGGTGCTGCCCTCGAGCTCTGCTCCCCTGCCAGCAGCGCTTCAGGGACACCAACACTCAGCTCCCACACACACACACAGAGCTCATGGTCTTGCTTTGTTATCTCTAATTAACAGTTAGCATTTTCCTCTCACCCTGCTCCTTTCCTTTCAATCCATTTTTGCAGTGAAATGAGTCTTTTGACATCCTGCTTCATCTTCCCTAAACCTTACTTACAGATTTTGGAGAGATGGCAGGATTTCAAGCTAGGATGTGTTAAAGGTCTGGCAAGAGCAATTAAGTCTTTAAATAAGGCTATTTTAAGTACATATAGATAGATTTGGCATTGCCCCAGCTAAGACAATTAATACTGTATAAAAAGCTGAAATGTTGAAGTTTTCTGCTGTCAAATTCCCACCTCAGTGCTTTCAAAAGGATTTGTGTTCAGCCCATCTGAAAACTCCAGTGTTTTGACCAAATTTTTTGTGAACTGGTAACACACAGGTTTTGGGAGAAAGTTTATCCTCAGAGGCCATTACACAGACTTTATCCAGTGGGAACTGAGGAAATAATAGTTATTGCTGTGGATGTTGTAATTCTAGTTATGAGATACAGTGCAGCGATGCTGCAGGGTAAAGCCTGACAGAGCAATAAAGCAAAATGAGTCCATTATCCCAAGAAAAAAATCCCTAATTCCACCCAGGTTCTAAACCAGTATTGTCACCATCAACAGCCTCAGGATTTATGCAGACAATTCCATCTCCAAAGTCCTTCATGCACATTAAAGCAGCCAACACTCACAGAGCTCCTGTGAGCAAGAACAGGAGCCATCACTCCATCCCAAAGATGTTAAGGAGTTTTTTCCCAGGCTCAGCTGCTGGCTGACTCAATGCTGGCTCTATTTACACAGAGGAGTCATGCTACAATGTCACCCCACAGTCATAATCCCCTTTTTGTCACGTTTCATGGCACAGCCCCCAGCACACACCACAGGCTGAACCAAAAACTCCCTCCCCAAGAGCTTTTTCTACAGGTCCTTCTGTACCACTGACAGGGAAAAGCGCCTTCCACACCCCACAAACCTGCACCAACAGCAGTAACAATGCTGTGTGAGCGAGGGAAGAGCTCCATCCCCACCTTGAGAGCCCCTAGCCAGGGTTTCATTGCCATTGCTCCTGGCTCAGGCTGGCAGCAAAGGAGAAGATGGAACATTTGTCTCTGAACAACTGTGGTGAGCAGAGCTGTGGGCCACAGGCACACAGAGCCTGCCCCTTCCTACCAGGACCACCAGCACCCATGGGAGCTGACCTGCAGGTGAATTATGTGTGCCCTGTATGCACATGGGCTGCCTGGAAAATATAAGAAGGTGAGCCTGGGGTTTTTTTATGGCTTTCTCTTCAGGCACAGCCAATGCCAGCAGAAATGCAGTCCTTATTTCAGGATCAGAGCTCAGACCACATCAACCTCCACAGTCCCACACCCGTGGCAGGCTGTAGGGTCCTGCCTCTGCTCCTTTCAAAGCAGTAAGTCCTTGATCCCTGCTCCTTTTTGTACCAGGATCATTTGTGTGTGTCCTTGGGCAAGCTGTGAAACAAAGGCTTGGAAGTCCTTCCCTTAAAGTGTGACTCCAAAACCAAGTGTCCGTGCCCTGGTAGCTCCACCTGCCCTCTCCAGCTCATGGAGACAGGTCTGGTGGTGTTCACACATCACTGCAAGCACAACATGTCACACCAGCTCTGTAAGAAGCTCATTCCTCAAACCTTCCTTCCCAGGGCCCTGTACTTGCACTTGGGGAACACAGCACTAATGATGTAGGCTTCAAGGTGACAAGGTCAGGCAGAGAGAACAGGCTTGCCTCTAATTTGAAGTTTCAAGGGGTTTCAAGTCTCATTACAACCCAAGTTAAAATGGTTATCTTCATCTTCCCCCCTTCTTCCCAGCTTTTCTCTGTGGTGGGTTGACCTTGGCTGGCTGCTGGTTGCCATCAAGCTGCTCCATCACTCCCCTCCTCAGCCAGCCAGAGAAAATAAGATGGAAAAGAAACAAAAAAATAACTTCATGAGTCAAGACAAAGGCAGATTAACACAGCAAAACCAGAGGATCAGAGGAAAACAAAAGCTCTATTTTCTACTCCCCAGCAGCAGGCAATGTCTGGCCAGCTCCCAGGAAGGGGGGCTGCAGTACCTGCAGCCATGGCTCCAGAAGATAAATGTTGTAACAATGAGCACACACACACACTCCCCTTCCCTTAGCTCCACTGCTGAGCACACATCCTGTGAGCAGGTAGAGCCCTTCAGTCAGCTTGGCTCAGCTGTCCTGTGTCCCCTCCCAGGGTTTCTGTCCACCCCCAAGTGAGGAATGCTGGAGACAGAGCCTTGACACTCTGCTCCAAAACACTGGAGTGTTCTCAGCACCTTCTGAGCTCCCTGTGCACTGTGAGGGGAAATGACCTCCCTCTCAGGCAGAGCCAGCGCATTCTGCTCAGCCAAAACCCCATCCAGATCCCCAGGATGAGATAACGAGATAAGCACCAAGCCTCTCCCAAGGTTTGTCAAGGTTTTTGTCTTGAAAGCAGAGTCCTGCCCTGGATTTGAAGCTTTATTTGAGATCACAATGCCTCAAAACAAAAACATTTCAAATTCAAACAGGCATTTGAGGCTGAAATTTGGCTTTGTCAGAAGAATTCTGAGCAGGTCCCCTCAGGACACAGTGCTGCCTCGTTTCTCCCTTCCTTCCAATTCACTTTATTCCTCCACATCCTTTAATTCTTCAATTGTTCTGCTCTGGGGCAGGAAAAGAGCATCTCAAGGCTGATTCTTTCCTTTCTTTTACACTGATTCTTTTCTTTTACATTGTGCAACCATACCTACAGCAGCTTCAGGACCTTGTAAGATTGAAATAATAATTAACAAGGCTGAAACTATAACTAACAGAAAGAGCTAAACACCAAAATAAGAGGCAGGAAGGATGAATGTTCAGCACTCCCTTTTTCTAGCCTACAGACAAACATTGATTTTTGGGATTCACCCTCATATATTTCAAACAGAAACTTCATTAGTATGAGACATTGATCTAGCAGCCCAAGATGTCTCTATTGTTTGAATTCTGCTGGCTGAGCCACCTGGGTGTAAAAGCTTATTTCAAAGCTCCAAACTCAGAGGGAAGTCAATATATTGCTTTGCTTCTATAATTTCATAGGAGCTTGTGCACTCAAGACAAAAAAAAAGTTAAGCCTAAAATAGTCACAATGGGCTGCAAAGTATTAAACCTTTCCAAATTCAGGACAGGAGGGTTAGAACTTTAAGGATCTTTAAAAGTTCCTTGAAACCCAAACCATTCTCTGATGATTTATCTCAGGTGTTCCCATGAAGAACACTGACATTTTCTGCCTAACTAAAATGAAAAACTCTATGTATTAATTGAAGAATTTGCTGCAAACTCAGCTGACTTCCTAAACACCCTCACATAACAATCCTTTTGGGATTCTAGTGAGCATCCTACAGCTGGTTTTTATAAGGATTATCTGACTAAGAAGGCATATTCCAGAAAGAAAATTGCTAAGTCTGCTTTGGATTTTAATACCTGCCACGACTGATGCCCTGCTGTGATTATTCAGAAAGCCCTATGCCATGAAATAGATAAAACAACATATAATTACAATTTTTGTTTTGTCTGAAATAAAGCTCCCCTCCAATCCCCCTGATGTAATCCAATTCTTTTCCCTTGCAGCTTCTGTTTTCTACCCAAATAACCAGATTAATCATCTTCCTTCAAACTTAAAAAACATTATGAAAATCATCAAAAAGCAGAACCCAAGAAATTTTCCTGCTGGCATTTCATTCTCAAGATAAATTTAGCAAGTCACAATGTGAAAACCAAATCCATTCTGCCAAGCTTTGTGAAATGGGCTGCACAAAATATGCAGCAACAAACCAGAATCACTGCAAATATTTATACATGTATTCTTCAGAAAAATGCAGTGTAGCTCCCAATTTCACCCACATTCATTAAACTTTTTCAACTGATGACAATTGGAGAAGAAATTAAACTAAAATATGGCTTAAACTGAAATCAGGCAGTACCCTGACCCAGTATAGTCCACAAAAAACTCTCTAGTTAAGAATATTGTGGTTTGGAAAGTTTTTATTAACCCAAGAAGAAGCTTCAGTCTTAAATTAATACAGACTTTTGTTTTCCCTCTGCACCAGGCCATAACAGAATAAATTTATGAACTTAATCTCTTTACTTACTAACAACAGCAACATGAAAACAGGAAAAGTTATCAGAAACTCTAAGCTTTATTCATGTTGGTTTCAATCGGTCAGGATTGAAAGGGAAATTAATTATGTTTTTTTCCTTCTGGTTACATTTTTGTTTGGGGATTTTTTTTTAGCAGCCCAAGCAGTGTAAACACTGCTGTGTCTTTTCTGGAGAGCAGGGTGTGCTTGTCTCAAAGGATGGTTGAAGATGAGCAGCATCTAAACCTCCATGCTGAGCAAATAGCACACCAGGAAGAAATGGAGAATTCAGGACATTAACATTCATCCATTAAATATGGGTGGAAGGGGTATCAAAATTAGCCTCTTACCTGTGGGTCAGGTTTGAGGCACTTGGCAGCACAATTTGGGAAGCACACACTGCTGTTGCTTGGTGGAGACACAGAGACCTTCTGTCTCTCCCAGAGCCCATCTGGCATCTCCCACAAGCCCTGAATTCACTTACCCAGCACAAACAAGTGAATAAGCCCTGTGTGTTTAATACTTCACAGAATTTCATCTTAAAGGGAGCTGGGAGGGAAAAAAAAATAGGGAGGAAGGAATCAGTCTGACTATTTGTACAACAGACTATACACTGTTCCTCTTGGTCAGGGCTAATTCCATGCACCAATATCATTATTTGCATTCTTTGCTGATTGGCATTGGGAGAGAGACATTATCTCATACAAACTGAAAACAAGTAAATGAATATGGGTATTTTATCACTATAAAATAGAATACATTCAAGTGGTTTATCCAGATGAATACTATTATTCTGTCAGTCCCACCTCAGTGACTAAATATTGTTATTTGGGAAGAAATACACACACAGCTTGGTCAACATGCCAGGATCCCTTTAAAAGAAAAAAAGCTAGATTTTATTTTTTTTTCCCTCCCTTGTCTTTGAGTGGTAAGCAAATGAGCTGTGAATTCAGCTGCAGAAATAAACCTTGCTAATATATGAGGTCACCTAATTTGAGGATGCATTTAGTCAGAGGTGTCTGGCAGTCAGATCAGTGACTTGATGCCCTTCTCACTCAATATTTAGGAGTGTTGAGACACAATGTGTCATTAAAGGCCCGTTTCTAAATGCCATGATAGCTGTATCACCAGACTAAGGAACAAATTTACTTATTTATTAAAGTCTTCAGCTGCTCAAACCAGATTGTACTGTGAGAATCTTCATTTTGGTTTAAGGAATGAAAATTTCAGTCTTGGGACTCAAGAACAGCTTGTCTGAGGGGTTGTGCTCCTTTACAAGATTAAATCATCTTCCAGGATGCTAGATTAACACTTTACTAACCCTTCTGTGAGCCCTCTGGCATCTCTCAGCATCACCCAGAGGCATGGGATTTACAGACACAATACTCACTTATTTGGCTTTAATGTTTGGGTTTTTCACTTTACTTGCATGAGATTGTTCCACGCAGTTTTGTACAAGATTCTTCTTAAAACATAAGTGCAGTGATCCTATTCCAGCTGTTCCTCATGTTAACCATCATAAAGAACTGGGTAAAGCCAAGTTATTATGCCCATATAAGTGTAAAGAGTAATTCAAGTAGAAGATCTTGTTAGGTAGGAAAAAACCAGGGTTTTTAACACGACAAAAAAAATAATTTAAAAAACCAAGAAACATATATTGAACCGCATAATGAGTAGTTTGGGTCAGGTTAGCAAAATTTTTATCACATGTCATGCAAAAGGCAGCTTAGCTGAGGTACTTGGCAAGTCTGAGGCAGTTTCATAGGTAAAATAACTCATTGCTCCTGTATTATAACTGATCTGTGCTCATAGCTGATTTCTTTGTACCATCATAAAATTTCCTCTTGACTTATTCACATAACACCATCATTAAGTGATTACACTTAAAACTTCAGAGAAAGAACATTCAACATCATAGCCAAAGCTCCTCTATGATATTTAATTGTTATTTGCTATGCAACATCAACTATAATTTGAGTCATCATCATTCTTCTTTAACGAGGAGACAATTTACTGACAGCAAATGAGCTGGGACTAACATATTTGTAGTGCATATATCCAAGTCATCAATACTGTTTCCTATGGTATAGAAAAAAAAACCAGCCAAAATTAATTATTGGACTGTTATAATTCTCAGTACAGTGGGTATATGATAGAAGTCAGAATGCAAAGTGTTGGGCACAGCATGGCACTGGCAGCACTCCTGGCTCTGCTGTCACTGTTTATCTGAGGCCAGTGTGAATATAATCAACCCCAGCCCTCCTACACCCCCTGGAAGAGGCCAGAGATCCTCAACAGGCTCAGATTTTCCCATTCTGCATTGGGCCACACGACTCTTATCACTTGGTTTCTGGAGTTTTTTGTTCTTTTCTCTTAACTTTAAAATAAAAAAACAGCTTTAAGGAGCTGAAGCTCTAAATCTCACATTTCATGGAGAGCTGGGCAAGTTTATGCTCCAAATCTCCTGAAAAATCCCAGGCTATATATCATATGACTTGGTTTCCACAGCTCTGCTTTCCTTTCTGTTGCTTGAGCCCATCCTTCCCTGGACTTTCTGATCCAGTTAAGGGGGGCTCAAGGAAAAGCTCCATGGAGTGGAGCTCTGCAGGGCAAGTGGGCAAAGCTGGTGGACCCCAGGTTCTGGGCAGGGTCTGCAGGGCTCCTACACCAAGGGAAGCAGGTTGGAGAACCAAATGTAACCACGATCACATCTGATAAGAGCAGGGCACAGCTCAGCATCCCTCCCTGCCCAGGTGGGTGAGTTCACAGGGCACAAGGATGTCACAGCCCCTGTCCTGGTGCTCCAGGCTGCTCATTTCCCACAACAAAAGCTCTTTGGCTGGGAGAAGCAGAGGCTTTGGGACACCACATGTGCTGCCTGCACCTGGGGCCAGGCCACCACAGGTTGCATGAAGGTTCCAGTGCCACCAATTTCTGGCTCTGTCACTTCCATGTCACTTCCCATCAGATTTTATCTAACTCAGTTTGCCTGTGTTGTCTACAAATCTGAAGCCCCTTGGGGCAGATATTTTTTCTGATTGCCTGTTTGTACTGGCAGAGGCCTCAGCTGGATTCTCCAGAGCCTGAAATCATAATTCCAGGGCTGCCTTTTTATGGGGTTTTTTTTCCTCTTTTTCTTAAAGTCAGTGAGCATTTCAGAACATGAATCTGGAAATCTACATATTGCTTTATTGCAAAAGTGTTTATGTTTTTAATCCTTCCTTCTCACTGTATAATGAAATTACAAAGCAGGAATCTTTCATAATAAAATTTAATGTAGATATGCCTGGAAAATGAAATCAGAAGGCAGCAAGTGATGGGAAAAGCTGCCATCAATCACTGCAGGCAGACTGCTCCCCTCGACAGCAGTCAGACACTGAGGTAGGAAATTCAGTAATTTGATAACAGCTGCAGTAGAAAAGAGGGAAGAAGCATTATGATGCTGTTCTCTACACATTCAGCATCAGGTCTGACCTGCACATCACGAGCCATGGTTACAGCAGAAACTGCACTGAAGTCACCAAGCTGCAGCTGCTTATTTAGGGCTGAATTGATCTTGTTCTTATTTCCACTGCCTGAAGACAGTAACCCAGAGCCTTTCTGTCCCTCCTTCCTTCCACACCCCCCAAAAATATCCCAGCACAACCAGATGGAGTTTCCCCCACCTTATTCCTGATGACCTGACTTCTCAAGGGTCAGTTTTCTCCACTGACTATAGAGATGCCTTACATTAGAAATTTGATTTTAGAACTGGTGTTTCAGACAGAGAAGCTCCCTCCAAACCTTAACTTTATTTAAGTCTTAAATGGATAAAATACTTTTATGGAATTCAAGCTACAGTGCTTGAATACACGCAACATTTCACCTCCTCAGCAAGAGGGTTGAGGTGCCCTCCTCTCCCCTGCTCCACCAGGGGCATCTGAAAAAGCTCTTTCTCCAGCAGAAGTCTTGGGTCAGAACAAAAACCCTGCCTTTTCATAAATTTACATTCAATAACTCTCACATAAGATTGCCTGCACATTTTTTAGAGACTGGGAGATGTGAAATGTAGCAAACATTGTGCCCTAATTTCTCTGGTTGTCTTCAAACACAAAACCAAAACCTGCACGAAAGCTTCAGAGCCTTCTTTCATTAATGGAAGAGAAAGAAAAGATTATTCATTCCAGCCCCAAGTTTGGGATCTATAAAAAACAAAGCAATAGTCATAAATCATGGTTTAGACAGACAAGAAGATTCTTGTTGGAGTTTCCAGTTCTGTTTGCAGGTTGTGGGGGCTCCTAATTGATATTTTTATATTTTAAAGCCTAATTGATATTTTTATGACAAGCCAAAGCAAACTATAGCATAAAATACAATAAAATTAAGCACAAATTATTTGAAGGCAAACTCCAACTCTAGTGTTTTTTATTCCAATTTACCCTAGTGAATAATGGCAAAGCCTACTAAAAGACAGCCCCAGAAAAGCTTCCAAAGGCCTTCATGAATAATCTTGTCAACCAGAAATATTCAAAAATCTAAGTATGAAACTAAAGAAATATTTTGCTGCCATTTCTTGTGAGTTCAGGCAGCTGAACCTTATTTTATGGAAAGATAAAGTACTCATAAAACATATCTCACATCTTCAGACAAAAAAAGTCAGTCATAAGTTATGATTACACTTTTTTTTCTCTCCAAGGATCTTTGCAACTCTGATTTTCAGACTTCTTTCTTTCAGTGAAAGAGAGAAAAATATATTGGGAAAGCACTAGGTTTTTGAAAGAGAAAAACAGATTTTATTGGCAGTAAGAAAACACCACTAAGGTCATAGGTAATCTCCTAAGAGAGCACTCCTGAAGCTTTAAGTCAGCAAATGCAAAAGAAAAAATACTCTTGTGGAAAAAAAGGTGTCCTGGACTGGGTCCTTCTAGTCCATTTAGGGCCATCAGTCACCACCTGCCAACAGGGGCAGCACCAACCCATTGGAGCATCTTTTCTGATCCAGGAATGCAAAGAGCACCTCATGGATTGTTGGAACAACATTTAGAAGTAGATTCCAGTTTAAAAAACAAAGGCTGTATTAAAGAGATATTATTCCTCACTAAAGGGAGAAAAACCCACTATGTTTTGTCTGATATAAATCAATAGGAAACTGGGAAGTTCAGTGGTGTAAACTGAACTTTTTTTAAAAAAAAAACAAACCAACAAAACAATAAACCAGTGGACAGCAACTCAGCCACTCCGTAAATAAATCTTACAGACCTGATTTCAGCAGAAGCCAAGTTAAAAAAATACAACTAGAAATATATTACAGGAAATTTTGCTTGACAGAGGAAGTGAATTTGCATTTTACAGCTGTTTATGTATATTTGTGATACATTTAATATGCTATGACCTTCAGAAGTAATAAAATTTTAGTTTTCATTCCATCAGAAACTATTTGGCATGCTGCAGGTTGCTGAGGCAGGCCATCACTCCAAACTGGGAAGCAATAAACTTGTCAGACTTATTTCCCTGAAGCACCCTGACTCCTGGCTGACACTTGGAACAGTCCTAAGTAATTATAATTGCTCCATAAAAACAAGACTTCGGCAAGGGCAACTTTTTAACACAGTATTCTCTTAATGGCTTGGCAGAAATACATGATTTTCCCTTAACTGCTTGGAGATAACTCACCTGATTTCACCTAAAGATTGCTAGTTTCTCTATTATAAAGTTTGCAACACAAGGAACAATATTTCTGTTCACTTTTGCAAATCAAAATACAGAGGAAAATTGCCATTGCTATAAATCCATGAACAACAATAAGGCTTGGCTGACAAGTGAAAAAACAGCATTGCAAGTAGTGTTTCATTATAAATAACTTATTTTTTTTTTAAATTGCTTTTGTAACTTCTTGGCCTAGAGCGGTGCTGTTAAATTGCATGTGATTTAAATCACAATCCTCTGGAATTTGTTGGATATTGATCTCCAGGTCACACAGGTTTTCCACAGTGGGTGTTAAAGGCAGTGCCTTTCCAGTACAGAGCAGGGGCAGCAGAGAAGTTGATCACATTTATCAGAACAAGGCACAAGTGGTGGCTGAGCACAGCAGACTGAAGGCACAAATTATTTCCTAAATTTGCTTTATTTATAGGGATTCCCTAGATAGGAAAACTTTTTCTACCCTTTCTCCACAAGATGCTAGGTGCAGCACACGAGACAAGTGCTGAGTCTAGGAACCATCTGGCTGGCTCAACAATGTAAAAAGACATTGATAAACTAGCCAGGGATAGGGTAACCAACTGTTTTGCTGGAAATTCCCCAAGAAAACACGTAACTAACTCAGTCTGCTCATCCCATCAGGCTCCTGAGTCCCACAGTGGGAGATGAAATGTCTCCCTGATAACTCAGCAGCATGTTCCAAAGTGTGGCAATTATGCTTCCCACCCAGTTATTTGGTTATTTACATCTATTTGTGCAAAAACCACAGCAAAAAAAACTGAGACACAAGCTGTGGTTCGTGTTGTTTCAGCAGACAGCTGAGCCTTTAGTTTGTACCACTTTTACCAACTAGATTACTTTTAAGTTCAAAATCCTTTCAACAGCTTCTCTTTAAAAGAATGGACAGTATTTCCTGCAGGAGCTGGTTTTCTTCCCCTCCCCCTCAAAAGCATCATCACATCCTTGCCAGCTCTAACTTAATCAAGGAGATAACAGGGAATTAGATATTTCTGTCATTATGGAGAGGCTTTCTCTCTTTTACCTAGGTGAAATTTATCTTCAGTTTCTAACAACACACTCCCAGTTTTTTAAGCTACAACCAGACACACTACACCCAACAATTGGTGCTTCATACAACAATCCTGCGTGTTCTGAACCAGACAGATAAATTTCACACACACACTCCATGTTGAAATACTTTCAGGGTCATAAGGCAAGAAATAAATTGTAAGAGTCTCAAAAAAATAAACACTCTAAGGGCTCAGCAAGCCTAATTGTGGCTGCTGGTATTGTGCTGCTTCCTCCATTGAGTAACCCTGAGAAGTGCATCTCTCCCCCCACTTACCAAAGATGATTTTGAGTGTATAAAAAGTGGAGGCAAAAGCACTCACCAATAGGTCACTTTGTGGCCTCAGGGGTTCCATCCTCAGAGCATTAAACTTTGTCCCAGCTCAGTATTCACTCATCCAGCTCTTCAAAGGAGTCAGGTTTCTCTCACAAGCCATCACCACTGCCTGGAGGGCAAGGCCCAGAGGCAGAAGGAGGATCTGAAGGGGGGAAAAGCAGAAGGGATAAGAGGAAAACCAGGAAACTCTGCAGACAACCAGGATAAGTTTGAGGTGGCACTGCTGGCTCCATCCATCCAAGCTCTGAGGAGAGGCAGCCACAGTCTGATGTTCTGCTGTGTTCATTTGAGAGTGATTTTAAGGGCTTGGCTTAAGAGGCAAATCCTCAGACATTTCAGGCTGTGGGAAATTCCCAAAACCTGCAGTTGGCATTGAGCTAAGTGCTAAAAGCTTCCTTACTCCAACTTAGAGGTGCAGCCTCTTGAGCTGTGTAACCACACTTGGTAACCCAGAGGGTCTGCAGGACACCACTCCCTCTGAGAAGGCATCCTTCCATCTCTGGAGCACTTCCCCAGACTCCACATTTTGTTATTTTTCCACATTTTATAAGGAAGAGCTCATATACAGGGTAGAGGAAATTAAAGGCATGCAAGTTTATCAGAGGTCAGGCTCAATGAAATTAACATTTAGTTTTAATACAGTCATTTGAGAAAACAGGAACTGGATACAAAAAAAATAAGAGCCAAGGGATTCATGATGTTGAAGATAAGTAAGGGCTTTTTTCCCAAAGAGGATGAGAGAAACATTCCCTCAGCTGGAAGAGCTAGAGAGGAAAGGTTCTGACATTTTGGGAGTGTTTTTACCAGAATCTGATTCATTTGAGATAGACTTCTTGATCTACAGGACACAGAGGGACACAAGTAACTTCACACCTGCTAGTCCTCCTGGGACTCCAACCACAGATTTCATTCACCTACTTAAAAAATAATTACATACCCTGAAATTAAAAAAAAATACATTTCACTATTCCTAAAATAAATGTCTTGATCAGCTGAATAAGGTATTTGTTTACTAACTGATATTGGGAATCTTTAATCCATCAGCATTTTGTTTCCTTCTGTAACTGGTATGTTTTTCTACAGCAGAAAAAAAGCAGCTTATTGCTTTGGAAAGGCAAGTTTGATTACTATGATCATTGCAAAGGAATTTTCCTGCCTGTGACTGGACCATGTCCCTAGATCTTGAAAGCTTGTGAATGTAGGAGCACAGTCCATGTGTATAAATATATATATTGCTTGCACTGATTTCTGTTATAAAATGAACTTCTTTGAAAATCACGTATCATAGATTCTGTGCTGTACATTGTGAAATTTTTCACAAGGTTCATGTACAGTCTCTCTGGAAATCCTGGGTCATTTAATAAAGACTAAATACTCACAGCTGCTCCTCATTAAATGAGTTTTCTAGACCCTTCTCCAGCTTCATCACCCCTCTCTGGACAGCTCCAGCTTTCAGATAAGTCTGAAAAAACATCCCCCTAAAACTAAACACCCCCTCTTAAAAAATAACAAGTATCTCTATTTAAATAAATAAAACAACCCCTGAAGCATCAGTTGTATATTTCTGGTTAGTCAGAGAGCACAGCCTGAATTTCATGCTCCCTTCTGTCAAATTTATGCCCACTGACAAAGCTCCAGGCATGGCACAAAACCTTCCCCCCCGCAAAGTTAATCCATAAACATTCCTTTAAACAAAGCTTCAACCCTCCAAGCAAGTTTTCTCTGATCAGAGCTTTGTATCAGGCAGGCACAGCATTTCTGATCCTCCATCACTGATTGAAAAGCCAGGTTTATCATATCATCAAGCCACAGCTCAGCCTGCTGCTAAGCCTTCCCACCATGCAGCTGTCTGAAGTCTGGCTGATGATAAAACATGGTGTGAGCTCCAATTTTTACCTCTTTGATCCCCATTTTGTCCAGAAATCTATTTTCAGCACTAAAATGCTCCCATCTCAGATGTGAGCTGCCTAAATAAGGCAGTAGATGGATCTGCAACCATTTTCAGATCTTTTGTTTTTTCCCCTCATGACCAGGCACATGAAATTTTTAAATAGGAAAGCAGCAGTGATTGTTTTGTTCCAGGAGTTTCTTATACATTTGAATTTCCCAGAAGTCTGATGGATTACAGCAGGTGCCAAGAGGAGGTTGAATAGTTTTATTCCCATAATCCACATTCATTCTTTTGTCAAATTTGCATTGGCAGCATTCCCCTGGTACATTGTCTGGCCCCTAGGTTAATATTGCAGACATCATTTCTCCAAAAGTCTAAACTTCTTGTTATTGCAACTTTTGCTTTATTGCACTTAGAGGAGAAGGTGGAAACTGTTACTCTGTCAGGATTACTCCCTGAACCTCTGGCACAGGCTGCCCAGAGAGGTGGCAGATGCTGCATCCCTGGAAGTGCCTGAGGCCAGGTCAGACAGGACCCTGAGGGACCTGGTCTAGATGAAAATGCCCCTGCTCATTGCAGGGGGGCTGGATGAGGCGACCTTTAAAGGTCCCTTTAAACCAAGCTATTTTATGACACTAACTCACTGAGCTGGAGACACTCCTGATACCTCTCACAGCTTGGAATGCTCTCACCCTTTCACAACCCTGTTGGGACAAAATTTATTCTCCTCTGAGCCCAGGCAGGACTGCAGATCCTAGAAGGCACTCCCTGTGTTCCATTTTAATCAATCCATGTACAACTGCTTCTATTTCAGACACAAACTGTGTATTCAGTCTTTTTCCACACTGACAAAGGTACCCCAGTGGCAATCATGACTTCCTTGGGTGCCCGAGGCAAGTAAATCAGAGGAGCACATTTCCATCAGCAAAGCAAACAGCAGACAACATTAACTAATCACTACAAACACATTTTCTCTTTGTCTGTCTGCTGAATTCTCTCATACAGCCCCTATGCCCATGTACAACCCTTCCAAGACTGCTGACCTTCCAGCTCTTGTGACACACGAGGTGCCCTTCCTTCAGCAGGAACTCTCCATTGCTCCAAGATTGGCACTGGAAAACTGATAAATGGCTTTTCACTGGGCAGGGAGTGAATGATGAGAGGGAAAAATGAAAGCACAGCCCCAAAAGCACCTCAGAAGCTACAGATCCCCTCATCTCCTGGAGAATCCACTGAGCTGCAGTACAAACTTCTCTACACCTGTGACTTACCAAGAATCCATTGCTAATGTTGAGTTATCAGCAAGTAATTAAGCTGCATATCTCTGCATGGGGGTTTCTTAATTAATCCTGGAAACTAGTCTGTGGTATAAACCCCCCTCATTTTAAACACTCAGGTGAGCTCTTCACAGCCAGGCTGTCATTTGGCTTGAAGTCAGTTAAGAGTGAGTATTTGAAGTGCTGAATGTCATATTGACACTGCCTGATTGATTTTCCTCAGCAAGAGAAGGACAAAAGGAGGAGAAAAAACAAAGCCATGCTTCAGAGGCCACTGGAGATCAAAACCACAGATGTTTGGGGATTCCCTTCTCTTTTGCAGGCAGAGTCCTGAATTACAGCTCTTTCTTTGCTCTCAGGTGAGAGCAGCATCCCAGAACATCCCCAAGGAGAAACTGCACCACTCTGGTCTCTTGCTGCCTCCTGAAAGGAGAGAAGGATGTGCTGAAGTACATAGTTTAAAGCCTCTCACATGAGTTTGTTATTCAGGACCTGGGCTGTGCAATCTCAGCAGAGCTGCATTGAAAAAGAACCTTTGGAAAAATCACACTGCCAACTAAACACCTGTACAGACAAAGGGAGATTGGAGTCATTGCAGGGAAATTGTGCATAAATGCCATGGAGATTGGAGCAATATGTTTCTATTTGCATGTGTGTACTTTATTTTTTGAAACAAGACTCTACAGGGCAGAACAAATGTATCATGCACCGAAGCCAGCTCAAAAACTGTCAGCAATTAGTTTTCCTCAATAGACATTATGCTTTTTCTGTAACAATAAAGCTCTGTGACTATTCTGCCTCCCTGCAGATTGCAGTGCAGCTCATCTGTAAACTCCCCAAAGCATCAGGAGGTATGGCTGTGCATGGTATTGCAATTAGGATGTGGAATGTTCTGAATGGCTGAGTCTACCTTCAGCCATCTGGAGTCCCTCCTTTATTAAATTATTTCTAGTGTTTATAGAGTCTCCTGCTAAGTAATTTAAGGGATAAAGTAAATTTGTCCCATGTTCAAAAAACTGTCATTTTTCAATTTAGTGGCAACTTAAAAGACAACAAAGTAATAATTATATCGAGTATATTGATATAAAAATGTGAGGCTATTAAGTTAAACACCCAAAACACACCACCCACTGAACAGGAGCTTAAACTTCTGATGACTGTGTTGGCTGTAGAGAAAGGAGATGATGCAGTTTTGTCCACATTAGGAAGGAGTTCTAAGGCAGAGCTGGGCACAAAGCAAGGTCCAGAGAAGAGCAGAACTGCCACCCCACCCTCCCTTATCACACACAGTCTGTAGATACAGAGGACACTGAACCCTGAAGGAGGAATGAACCAGCTGTGCCCATTTCCACAAGCACAATGAGATCACAAAGCTGCAGAGGCCTTGAGACCCACCCAATACCTGTGGATTTAAAGCTGCAAACACCAGTACCCCAAATAAAGCATTGAGATATTGCATACCTGGGGCTGCTGTTTGCCCCAAAGGTCTGTAGGATTGGGGTTGGAGCAGCTGATAAACCAGAAACAGGTGTAGGGGGTTTAGGGGGGGTTGTAATTGTTGTATGATATTTTTCTTTATTTCTTTTTAATAGAAGCTTGAATTGCATTTAATCAGAGAAAGGGTGATGCACATAATTACACCACAGCATGGATGTGCCATTATGGGCTATTTTTTTTTTTCCTTTTAATTTCAGTCAGTGATTTGAAGCATTAATAACCTCCCTAATTTTTTCCTAACTAATGTAAGCACAGATGCTAATCTTACTGACATAAGCAGCTCCTCTCATTGCTGTTTTCCAGGGACTAAACCAAGTTCAGCAAATTCATTAGACTCTGCAAGGGAACTGATGAATCTGTCTGTGAACATTTTATCATTTCAAACTTCACACAGCTTCTACCACTAAACCCTGCCTGAGCCAGGGTCCAAACTGGCCTGGTCATTTCTTACTTGGACAGTTGATACTCTCATGGAGGATGATATTCCTCTGAAGAATTTAATTTCAAACCTCCAGAAATATGTTTACCAATAACTATCCAATTCTAAAGTACAATTAATTGTACTTTAAATTATCAATTACTTTAATTTAAATTATCAAGTACTTTTAATTATCAATCAGTTGCCATAAAACCTAGGACCACCTGGACTAGATCCAGTCAAGTTGCCTGCACAGAAGTGTATCACTACACACTCTCTAAAGAATTTAGGTCATGTATTCTGCATTAAATTTTAATTTCCTCTTAATGAAACTAAACTTGCTCATTACAGCAAACATCCCAAGACTAGCCCCTTATTAAATTCTTTTCATATTTGTACACCTCGAGAAAAATAGAATTTTATTGAGAACTGCCTCACACTCTCCACTGGTAAGCTACAAGGATTGAGATAACATTACTAAAAGTATTTCAAAAGCTTTTAATAGAAAGTAATTTAATAGTGGATAGGTGTGAGAATTAAAACAATCTACTAATTGCACAATTTATCTTGCAGTGCCTCTGGCAGGGAGGAAGAACATCTGTAAGTAAAAATAATTAGATCTGTTTTTCAATGTAAGAGACCAGAGTGAAATGTTTGGATACTCTCCTAGCAGAATTCCAGGCTTAATTCTCCCTAAAACCATAAGCACATTACCTTGCAAAGGCAAAAGAGGCATTTGGGAAGGGAAAAGGATGTTTGCAGGCTATTGTTTATTTTTTCCAGATGGAATTAAAAGAAGAAAACTCTCCCAACCCTTTATGGGGCTGCTTGAAAAAAATACTTCTAACATATTTCTGCCCTCAAATTTAATTTATATTTTGGACTTACTCATGGGTTTTTATGGGCCTTCTTGAGGAAATACTGACACCTAAATACTCCTAATGCTAGCTTTATTTCAACTTAACACTATGAAAAATGCCCAAATACAAACAGGTGATTGGAAAAAAAAAGAACAAATACATTGATCACTATTCAGACTTCTGTACAAAACCAGAACAACCTAAAGAACACCCCTGAAAGACACAATCTTGTGGAAGGCTGAATCAGAGGCAATACATCTAAGAATTCCAGAAGAACAGGATTAGACCTATGAGAATTCTGATAATTTACTTTTATCTTTTATTTCCTACAGATACAATCACACAACATTATAGTCACAGACACTTAAACACAGTAGTTACAGAGCAATCACTCTTCACCACCCATTTATGAGTAGTTTAGGTACCAGAGATCACAATTGTAGTTTCGTCAGGGTATTTTTTAGGTAAAACTAAAGAAAGTTAAGCAGAGATGGAAGCAGTTCTTCAGAAATAGAAAAAAATGTTAGTTCAGAAGTGCCATAGGTGTTGTTCCAGTTGTACCAGACCAGGCAGATTTGTCTTGCAGTGCTGCATGGTGCAGAGGAGCTGCCAGTTTATGTTAAAGCTGCCACTGCAGAACACAGAATCCTTTCCCAATCCCCTCAAATCCACCCCACTTCCACCACCAACCTGGAACATACCATTGATCAACAACCAATGCACACCCCAAAAATACTATCTGCATTACATTAGACTGATTTCATCAGCATCAGAGATTCTTCTCTTCAATCTTTTTTATCCTTAACCACATTTACCCATTGTGGCAAATGTCAGACCTCCTTCACTCACTTCCAGGCTTGTCTGAGCAACCCTCTACATCCCCACTGCAGCATCCCAGGAGCTACAACAGCACTCAGCTGGCTTTGATCTCTGCTGTGAGCACAGCCAGGGCTGAACAAGCTGCATCATGAGCCTTTGTAGCCACACAAGGCTGCAGAGATTGGGATTGATCCAACTGCTCCTCCTCCACAGGTGTCCAGAGCTCTGTGGTGCAGCAGCCACCTCTCGCTGTGCCCCACAGAAAACACAGCAAAAACAAGCAAACAGCTTCTCAAAAGCTCAAACAGAAGGGCAAGCCAGGTGTGTTAGGTTCCTCTTTTCACCCACTGCCATGATGTGTTATACAATTATCTTCTTTCTATGCACAGCATAAAAGTAATATCTAGATTTTCTCCTGGCTTGCTGAGTACTAAGGAAAGCTGCACTGGCATGAGCAATGTGCTTCAAACCAAATTAAAAAGTGCAGTCTAAGGATGAACAGCTCATTAAAAGACCAGTGTTTGCTACACCCAAAAAAAAAGAGCCTAGAATGAGATTTTTCTTATCAACCACATGGCACAGAGCTGGAACTGCGTGATCTTTCAAGTCCCTTCCAACACAAACCATTCTCTGACTCTGTAATAGGGGAGGAATGGGCAGCAATGGGAGGGAAGAGATGGTTTCTAGGCTGGTTTTGTGTCAGCAGTGGCTGCACAGCCCCAGTCCCACCCACAGGTGTGAGAGCATCACCTTGCCCTTACATCTGTGCCTTGTTTTCATTTGCACAAGTTATAACCAGATGAGACACAATCATCGTGTTCTCTTGAGCACCAAGACACAAATGATGTCTGCAAGGCACCAGCAGAGTTTCAGAGGAGAGGCTTCATTGTCAGGAAAAGGTGACAGAACCCTGGGGGAGATGTGCTCCAAAGCAGCCCTGGTGTGTCAGCCCCTTGGGGAGGTTCTTAGAGAGCCCCACAAAGAAATTCATCACCCTCCCATCTCATACCACCTTCTTTACCTCAATGCAATGCATTAAGGGCAGTAGAAAAAGCAAGGAATGGCTCTGACAAGTGCTCCCTTTCAAGCTCTGTCAGCCTGGGGAAGCAGGCAGTGTTTCCCACAGGCTGTGCAACCCACCAAACACCCAACATTTACCTGCCAGGCTGTAAGCAGGTGCAAAGGCAGGGCAGCAAGCTGGGAAGAGAAGCTGGAGCAGCTGGAATCCAGCAGCCCAGCTGGGCAGGCTGTGGGATGAACACTGCACACAGTGAGAGCCCAGCTACCCCTGGGGGACAGCACGGTGTAAAAAACAGAGCAAGGGGCAGAAAAACCAGAGTTCAGAGGTGATCAGAGGCTTCCACCCTCACCTGTGACCCCAGGCACCTGAGGTACACAGGGCCATCCCACTCCTGGTAATTGTAAATGATTTTAAAATCATAGAGGATTCAGGGAGTTAGAAAGAAAGTAAGGCTTGGCAAGGCCTGGGAAAAGTGTTAAAAGCCCTGGGAAATGTTAGGCTTTGTGCTTGTTAAGAGCATGTGAAACTGCACCTGTGTGGTCAGTATATGATAAATGGTACAATTGTTAGATGTGATTACATATAATTATTGTTTAAAGAATCCTGAGGAACAATGTTAGGGGTTTGGGAGATCACAAGAAATCCATGCTTGGGTAAAACCAATGCATCCAATAGAACAATGTAAGTTTAATAATTAATATGTAAGTTATATAACAATGGAGAATAAAACATGTTCAGCTCAAAACCAAGGCGGGTCAGATTTGGGTATGTGCACCCCTGACACCCAGAGCTCTTAATAAAGCACCTTCATATAATCATTCCATAATTATGTGTTCCTGAACGCTAACACTGGGGCTGGACTGAGCACCAGCCATTCCATCCCATTTATTGCCCCAGCCACAAATAGAGAACAATTTTTACTTCAGTTTTTAACTTGTCTGTTCCTTCTCAAACCCCTCACAAAGGGAAGCAAGTGGTGAGCCTGAGTTTTCTGAACCAGCTCAGCCCCTCAGAGCGAGAGGAAAGCAAAGAAACAGTGGGGGAAATGGCAAAGCAAAATCCACAGAGATCTAAACTACACCTTCATTTCAGCTGCAAACCCAGCCCTGCTTGGCCACAAAGAAAGAGCCCAGCACCTGTAACTGCAGAGTTACTCCCACTTTCCTAAGACAGCAGCAAATTTAAATGTATTTATATCCAATTTATTGTGCAGAGTCACAAACCCAAACCCAGCCAGGCCACCAGCCTGCCCACCAGCCTGCACACAGCCCATCCCAGGGGCTGGCAGCAGCAGCCCAACAAATGCTCTGACAACACAGCCAAGACAGAAAATGCCCAACCAACTCCCTCAAAGTGCTTAAAAAAAACAGATTCCTTTCATAAAATTGAAAATATTTACAGGTAAGAGCAACACTGACCTCTTAGCTGAGCCCTTTGACCTTCCTACCCCTTTCATGCACACAGCCACCCATCTGCTTGCCTAAAAGACTTTTATATCAAGTGTTGGGGCTCAGGGATAGATAATTACTGATTTCTGGTTTTACCTTGCCAGCAATCAGGCACACCAGATAAGCACCAGCTGAGATGGGGATGGTCTCAGAGTTTGTGTGGGGTTTTTTTATTACTGTGATTTGCCTTTTGTTTGTGGAATTGGAAGATCCTGTCAGATACCTCATCCCTTATAATTACAGGTTCTGTATGTTTAAATCAAGTTCACTAAATTTACCATGCTGTTTCCTCTCAGAAATACTGGCCTTTACAGTGGAAAAGAAACTCCTAAACTGAAGGATGCCCCAAACTGAAGGATGACTGCACTGCACTGAGGCAGCAGCACCACTTTTTCACTTCATGAAATTCTAACGTTTTGCTCTATTTTGACCAATAAATAGGCGAACTATTGCTTAAAATAATAACTATTCACAGAGTTGTTGCTAACACACATTAATGCTTTCTAAAACAGCCATCTCCTGAAAAAAGAAGAGAAAGGATAGCATCCTTGCTGGGAAAACAAGTTTTGAAAGAGTTACTGTATTTGGCATGGCAGACACACTGTGCCTTTAATGTGGTTTTGACAAGCACACAAATGAGCCTGTTAAAAAATGAAGAAGGCATAAAATGGATGGTGCTCTCTTGAATCAAAACTTCTAACAAAGGGGGTATTTAGGTTTCAATTTCTTCTGCCACACTATCAGCTGTGAGCTTTTGCAAGAGTCAATCACTGGGGATTGGAATCATTGGGAACAATTTCAGTGCGAGCCCAGAGCGAGCTCACCAAGGTGCAGGAGAGGGCAGAGTCTGTCCTGAAGCAAACAGCACTTGGGTGAAATCGTTCAGAGTTAAAAGGTTCATTATGGCTTTTGAAGCACTTCTGCAGTAATGGAAAAAACAATAAAAATGCTGAAGTCTTCCAGTAGGCACTGCCTTTTTATTCAGAGAATCAAAGTGGATCCCATTTCATGCTTCTTGGAACAGAAAATTATGTTTTGAGCTGAACTTTTTGGCACTAAACAGCTTCATAATTTTTGTCTTGTTTAGAAATACCTTTTAGCAATTTTGTGGAACAGCAAAAGAAAAATAATTAAAATTACTTTCTGTGAGATAACCTGTGAAAATAATATTTCTGTACAAAATTCATTAGGATAACACATTAAAAATAAAAAAATAAAAACCACAAAACCATCTGCCTTGACATCCAGACAATTTGTATTAATATTTTTAACTTGAGTTTGACATCCAAGCTTACAAGATCATGGCTGTAGCCTGTAACACTGTGATCTTTTTCATAAAATTGAGTAAGAGACCCGAGGGCTTTTTCTAGAATTCATATTTAACTTTAAAATTGCTTAATTTCTTGTCATTATTGAAAAGAAAATTCTGGCAGTTTTGTGTTTCAATTATTTGGTGATACATTTGGGACACAGATGTTTCCCTGTGTAAAATTATGACACTTTCAGACAGGGATATGTTGGATGCTTTCTTGGCTGGGCACAGTTCCTGGCAAAATCCAAGTATTAAAGACAAGTTTCCCAACTCATTTTGAATGTTTATATTTGTCATTCAAATCCCTTTGCTTCCAGTATTGGAATAAAGTAACAAAGAATGCAAGGTGCAAAGGTGTCCAAGAATCTACAACAAGAATTTATCCTGTCATAAATAAATAAAAGAAAACCAAATAAACATTGTGGAAAAAACATTCCTGAAAGTGTTTCATATATCATATTGCATTTGAACAAATGGATGATGATGGAAAGCACAGCTTGCTTTGTACTTGAATACTGATGGTTATATCTGAGGGAGTTATTTTTCTGAATAAAATATTTTTTGTCTATTTTAAGCAAGCAGTTCCATTTATGTTAGATATTTTTAAGTGATTGCCTTAAAAGACCATGTAACTTATTCCAACTTTTGCCTTGATTGCATAGATCAGCAGTTATTTTAATTTAAGTGAAAAATATTCCAACTTGAGACACAAACAGGGCAAAATTTCTGTCTGCTGAGCCATCTATGTAATTTTAAAAGCTACGTTTTATTCAGCCTGTCATTTCTGTTCACTTCAGTGGGGAGAGCTGTCTTTAATCCCTTTAGCCCTGCTGGAAGAGCAGCCTGGAGCCTGCAGCGTGTGGAACCAGCCAGAGCTAAGTGAGCAGCTCCCCTGGCAATGCCCAGTTGGGCTGGCACTCAGCCCCAGAAATGCTGGGGTTTAATTACTGACACAAAAAGCACCAGTGGTTCCCAGGGCCTCTCCCTCATCTGTGAACTCTGTTCTCAGCAACAGCAGCTAAAATAAAAACTTTTTCCCAGGATGTGCAGGTCACCTGAAAGCAGCAGGAGTGCTCTGAATAGTGCCCAGGGGAGGGGGTCAGGAAGGGTTTGGGACCAGGAGGATGCAGGTTTGGGGAGGAGGGTCCATGCAGGGAGCTGAGGGCAGTGCTTGGCCTGGAGAAGCTGTGAGGGTACCTGAGAAAGATCACAGAAACATGGAATGGGGTGGAAGGGACCTTGAGACCATCTCCTTCCACCCCTGCCATGGCAGGGACACCTCAAACTGTCCCAGCTGCTTTGTCCCATCACCCCATGCCCTTGTCCCAAGCCCCTCTCCAGATCTCCTGGCGCCCCTTTGGGAAACGGGAGCATCTCTAAGGTCAGCCTGGAGCCTTCTCTTCTCCAGGCTGGACACCCCAGCCTCTGCTCACAGGAGAGGTGCCTCAGCCCTCTGAGCATCATTTCTCATCATTTTTCCAGATGTTTCACAGCCCACTGAAAGCCCTTTGTTCTTCCTCCACAGGCTTCCAAGGTTTTCAAACGAGGCATAAAACCAATCCTCTCTGCTTTGCAAATAATTTTTCTTTCTATTGCCTATTTTTATCTTCTAAGCTACAAATGAAGCTTCCAAGCTGGTGCTGAAAAAGAAGCAGGAGCGTGGAGGAAGGGCTGGTGCCATGTCCAGAGCCTGCATTTGGCTCTTCCTCTTCCCAGTGCATGAGGAACCTTTCCAGAGCTGTGATATGGATATTCCCACATTAAATTCCATGCCATGACCCAACACTCTCCAGTTTTTCCATTTCAATGCAGCAGGCATTGAAAATAAATAATAATAAATTAATCACCCATCAGGGTGATTTAGGCTGTAGTTGTTTGACTTTTTTTCCCAACCAGTTGGAATTGGCCATGTAGTCACCAAACCTGATATGGTATCTAGCAATATTAATTGGTCTCATAAAGCCTCATAAATAAGCCTCATAAAGACCAAGGCTTTGTATTTCTCTATTCTATTTCCTAATTAAATCACTGTATGCACTTCACAAAGTGTTTTATAAGAAAACAGATCCAGGCTGCCAAGTCTTCTTCCACTGTAAAATCCAGGCTCTTCTGCCTGTATTGGAAATAATTTTAGCACACTGGAAAAAACAGAATAAGGCCTTGGACAGAAATAAGCATTCATACTGAGAGATTAAAAATATTCCAGTTCAGCCATAGGATTTTGAACATTTCATTTCCACCAGTGTCTCGTTTTATGAGCATATAGGTAATTTTGCCATGGCATGTGACTGAATTGATTTCATTGCTGCATTGTCTCAGAGCTCTCTAAATCCCCAAGAAAGGAACAGAGAGCTATGGACAAGGGGATCTCCTCTCCCTCTTTCCTGTCCCATTCACAATCCCTAATGAGTCCCTGCTTTGCTGTCAGCCACCATCATAAGTTGGAACAATTTTTAAAAGTGAGGGAAAATATTGAAGTTGTTTTGTTTTGACACCCCTTTGGGGATGGGTGGAACGATTTATTTCAATTTTCCATCATTTCATTTCACTCCCCTGAACTTATGTATGACATTTTTCCTTAGATATCAAACTTAATGCTGATAAAAAACTAATGTAAATGTGACCTGGTTTTGGGAATTTATCCCTTTTTGGGTGAGGGACTAAACATTTTAGGGTGACTTTTAGTGGTTTGGGTTTTGTTGTTTTTTTTTTAAAGTTTTTATTTCAAATAAGACATTTGATGTGAAGAGCAAAACAGAGGCAAGGGAATTCTCACTTTGCAAGCAGATGTCAGGCAGGAAGGCTGTTTTTATTTGGCACAAATAGTTTTTAAAATATATATACTTATTGGATGACTCCACACCTCCTGTCCAGACTCCAGATTTTATCCCATAGCTTCAGTCAGTCTGCCTTAAATAAGCTTTCAAAGAGTAAGGAAAGAGTTGGGCAAAAAGATAATTTGAAGCAATTTTGATCTATGTGATTACACTCTGCTGACAAGAAAGACAATGGTGCAGAACTAATAAAGGGGAGGAAAAAAGCTGGAGAATGGGAGAGAAAACAAAGGTAAAAATGGGTTTAATGCACTAAGATCTATCATGCAGAGTTGAAAAGCCAGACTGTGAAAAGCCAATTAGTGCACCAAATATGAAAAGCACCCAAATTAAACAGAGAACATCATCAAAGAGAGCTGAGATATGGATGTTCCCAGCATGCAGACATGAAGACATTTCAGATGAGTACAGAAGAAAATGTTTTTAAAAAGAAATGAAATGCAGTGGGAATTCAGTAAAAACAAGCCTGTAATGGGCAAATGATAGGCTGTGAAATAAAGTATAAAAGCCAAATCTTTATAGTGTCTAACGCTGACAAAACACTTCAAGGCTGAGTTTATGAGGTTCTGTGCCATAAACATCAAAACTTAGAAAGCACATTTGTTGCTTGATGCATGTTTTTATTTACTCTCTTGGAGTGTTAATGAGCAGAGAGATGGATTCTAGCATAATACCCATGTTACCAGAACAAAAAATAAGGACCAACATTAGCACTGATGTTTTAAATGATTAAAAAATGTCTCGAAAATTGTATCTCCTATTAAGCAACTTGGATGCTCCTTGTGGTCTGAACACACTGAGAGCTGCTTTGATATAAAAATCAATTTTGTAAGTAATTTTTCTGCATTTGGAGTGCTAACCTGCTGGCTTCTATTCAAAGGAGATCAAAC